GCCAATTACACAACCTAACGAGTGTTAACAAAGGGGAAATAACGGTGCTAAAAGAACAGAGAAGGGATCTAGACTTGAGGGTTCAGGGATGGCTCTTCTTTCAGAATATGATTAATTTCTTTTAATACCAAAAGCCCATTAAATAGAAGAGGAGTTAATAAAACCTCTACTCCAAGATTTGTGCATACAGAAAGCCAATTCAGCTTGTGAGCCAATTGGAAAACAGCTTCTTCTGAGACTGAGATTTTCTGAGCAAATCACCATGTGTCAGCATAGAGACCATAGAAGCAGGACAAGATCACATCTGATCTCCTGCATCTGACCATCTCCCTGTGAGCTACCGCAACTCTCCTAGTGCATGCATGAACACACACACACACACACACACACACACGGAAAAGTACAAGGATATAAGGTACAAAAACCTTTGTTAAGGGCAACATGAGGGGTAGAGATCCTATGTGTAGCTGCAACAGGAGAGGGAAAGATCACTTCCAGCTAGGGTGGCTTCAGAGGCTGAGTGATGAGGGTTGGGCCTCTAAGAATGAGCAGGACCAGGACTTCTAGAGGGAATAAGAGGGCACTTGTCAAGAAGAAAATCATGCATAAGGACAATGAGACAGAAGAATAAGGCATACTTAGGGCACAGTGTGTGAGAGCAGAGAAGTGCATGACTAGGTTGGAAATGTGTGTCCTGGGGCTCAATTCTGATGGATGCTGAATGCCAGGATGAAGAGTGCAGGATTTACTCTGTGGGTGGTGGGTTTACATCAGGGCCTTCAAGCAGGAGAATGGCAGTTAAAAGCAGGGAAGAGTAAAGTTTAATTTGATGGTAATGTGCAAGGTTTATCTGAAGGAAGGGGCAGGGCTGGAACCAAGAAAACTACAGAAGGGATTATTCTAAGAGTTCTGATGAGAAATGATGAGGCTCTAAGGTAGTGGCAGATTCAGGAGATAACAGTGAAGCAGGAAGGAGGGCTTTCTGTTGGTGGGAAAGGGAGAAATCAGATGAAACCTTGATTTCAAGTTGGGATGGCCTGATCATTTAATAAAGATAGGCCAGTATGATTAATGTAAGGCCAGGAACTATAGTCAAACAACTGGGTTTTCCCTCCCTACCTCCTTCTAGGTCCCGCCCATTGTCTGAGGCCCAAGTCAAGGTCCTTTTCCTCCCTGAAGCTTTCTCTGTTTATTTCCAGCAAACATGGCCATTGCCTTCTCTGAACTCCTATTGGCCCAACAGTCTACCTATTCCTTTAGCTCTTTCTCCAAGTGGCCTCATGTGAATGGGCTTTCTACCTACCCAAAAAGCATCTCATTCACCAAGGTGAAAAATCTTCCTCCTCTGATACCTAGCCCTTTTCACTTAAAGAACACAGTAAAGTGCTAGACATCTGTAGGTCCCTGAGAAATAACTATTGACTCATCAGTGATCACAGGGAAGGAAGTTGAGTAGAGAAAATGGGAGATAACATAAAAACATATTAAGATAGTAGTCCTCATTTTAATACCTAGGTTGGTTCTCAGGCTTGGCAGTAACCAGCTGGTGTAACCTTTAACAGTTTACTTAAACCTCTCTGAGCCTTGGGTTTCTCATGCATCTAATGGGGCAAAGATTCTTTACTCACAGGCTGTTGAGAGGGTACTTGGGATGCTCCACTGTCCTACATAAAGCAGCTATCCCCGTGGGGAGTACATGGTAGGCACTCGGTAATACTGAGGTTCCCAAACGTCTCTAGAGGAAAGTATTGTTTCCTTGTGGTTGGCCTTTGTCTCCCTCATCCTGACATACCCCAGTAGATATACAAGAAGTAATTATGATTGCCTTTTATTGAGTGCCCAAGATGTGAAGATCTTGGTGTGTTACAGAAGTGATGTCAGCACATTGGGAGTGACTTGCCCAAGGACACACAGTAGTGATGATTCTGTCTCTGGGGACTCAAGAGAGGTCTCCTGACTCCTGATTCCAGCTTTCTGTTCAGACAGAAGAGGCATCTACAGGCGTGTTTCTGTGTCTCATATACCTATGCTTCCCAGATGTTTATCTAGAAGTTAAAATAATGGAGCAGAAGAGCAATTGATAGTGCAGTGTGTTTTTTCTCCTATCCCATAATCTATTGATCTGATATTGCTGAAGCTCATATAGTATATATAATTCCTCTTATTACATTTCCAAATTATGCCTCTGATAGCTATGCACATTTTTATTCAAAATCACGTCTTTTATGGGAGGTTGAAGGAACTATTTGTTGAAGTTCTCCTATGTGATAAACACTTTATATAGCCATTTGTATTTAGAATTTACAATAATTCAGATATAGGAAATGTTACTCCCATTTTCTAGAAGAGAGAACTAAAGCTCACAGAGTTTTAGGAGCTTTTCTAGGTTGACACAACTAGTAAGTAGCAAAACTGGTATTTTAGCTCTTGATCACCACAGTAAATAATTAAACTGGTTGCTATAGTACATGTTATATAGTGACCATGTGATGCCATGCACATAAAAGAATTCAACAATACCTATTGATGAGGATGATAATAAACATGAAATAATCTCTCGGGTTTAGACACCTGGGTTGTGGTGCTCATATGAATTTAGTCAAAGCAAAAAGTCAATGTATTGTACTCACCAAAGCCTAGGCCAGCTTTGGCACTAGGTTGAAATGCTACCTAATCTATATATTAAAAGCTCATTAAAACCTAGGCGTGTAGAAGAGCACTCTCATCTTTTCTGCACTAAATCTCTATTATTGGACCCGTGCCATACTGTTTTGATTATTATGAACTCGCATATGTTAAACAACTAGAACCCCTTTATCATGACTTCTATTAATTTCTTGCCTACCTTTTCCATTTGATTTCTTTCAAGAGACCTTTGAAAGAAAATCTGCCAAACTTCCAAATGCCAGTGTGGTGGGGGGCAGGAGTGATAAAATTTACAGCTTTACAAGACTGAATCATCCCATCCAAGAATCTGGCATCCTAGTTGTCAAAATATTCAACAGGCACATTCCTTTTCAATTATTTCAAAAGTCAGAATTTACTTTAGATCTTCAATAACTGCTAAAAGTTGATCTGAAAATAATCAGGCTAAAGACCAAGGCCCTTTTTAACCCGGCTTTTGGAGTAGTTTCTGTATAAGAGGTAATTAGTGACCAACCTACTTCAAGGATTGTAATGAAAATGAAACAAAAAAAGGCAGTGGGGCAATGTAATATATAATATTTTGGAATATATGAAAGGAGAGCAAGACTTGAGGTAGCAAAACCAGAAAGGATCTTCCACCATAGGAGTGGGGAGTCATTTGCCTGAAAAAAGGTAGCAAGAGTGGAGACGGAAGAAAAGTGGAAATACCCAAAGATATTTAGAAGAGAAGGTCAAGATTACTTGGTGGCAGGAAGAAGGAATCAGGGATGATTCCCAGATTTCTTGCTTGGGCAACAGTGTGTGTTCTGTAGCCATCTATTAAGACAAGAGAAACGAGGGAGGAGTTTTGTGTGTGGAAAAGACCAAGGAAGGATGGTAAAATCACTTGGGACATATTGCATTTGAGGTCCTTCAGGGACACTCAGGTGGGTATATCTAATCGTTGGTTAAAACGGATCTGAGTCAAGTTTATACCAAAGTTCACACAGGAAAATAAACATACAAGAATATATAGGAAAAAGAGAATCTACTGAGGGGTCCTAGCTCTACCAGATATATGAAATTATATATATATATATATATATATATATATATATATATATATATTATCTCCTCTATAATTCAACTGGTATATGAATAGCAAACAGATCAATGAAATAGAATAGAAACCCCAGAAAGTTTTCCAAGTACGTATGAAAATTTGATATGTAATAAAGGTGGCATCTCAAATCCCTGAAGTGAATATGGCCTTTTTGATGCCAGAACAACTGAGAAGCCAATTGGAAAAAGAAAACAAAAGATCCGTCAATACTTTATGGCATAAACAAATATAAACTCTAAATGTAAACAAATAAAATCATATGAATACTAGAAGAAAACATAGGTGAATGCTTCTTGGATCTTACGTAGGAAAAGATTTCTTAACTGTGAATCAAAATCTAGAGGCAATAAAAGTTTAATAAATTTGACTACATTTTTTAATGCATGGCAGAAAAACACCATAAACAAAGCTAAAAAGCAACTGACAAACTGGAGAGAAAATTGCAACATATGTAACAGATAAAGGCCTAATTGAGTTAATGTATTAAGAGAACTTGAAAATTGAGATGAAGACTAACAATCCACTAGAAAAATGTGGAAAAGACATGAAACGACAATTCACAAAGAAAGATACTTAAATTGTCCTTAGAGATAAGGCAAAATAAAATGCCATTGCGATATTACTTCTCAACTATCATATTAATGAACATTTAAAAGTATGTCATATGTTGGGAAGGGTGTTGGGAAACAAAACACTCCCCTATATTACTGGTGGGAAAGCAAAAATAGTCTGAGATTCTGGGGAGGGAATAGCCTGGAGATACACATCTGGGAGTCATCGGTGTTTGCAGGAAATGAATGAAATCAAACAGGGAGAGAGGAGGCCCAGGGCAGAACCCCAGGAACACCGCCACTCAAGGTGGGAGCTCAGCTTCCTGGCAGGCACCACCGCCCCAGCCTCTGGAGTCAGGCAGAGATTGTCTTGAAAGCGGGCTCTGGAGTTCTGGGGCTGAGCGCTCTTGACAAAGCCGGGTACCCTCTCTGATCACCTGTCACACCTGGCGATAATGGGCATCAGAATGAGATACCCTGCGAGGATGCTGTGAGATGCGCAGGTAAAGCACTTGGAGTCAGAACGCCACTCCCTCTTCCTCTTCTCGGTGACCCCCCCTTTGCTACACAAACACACCTGATCCCGACCGTCCCCAACCTCACGGTCCCTTGGGGATGGATGGTGAGGTGGGTCAGCCAAGGCGGGGGGGATGAGCTCGGGTGACGCGGCACTCACGTGACCCGCCGGGCGCCTACGTGGGCACCAGCCCCCGCGCCCGCCTGCCTGCCTGCCCAGCGGTCCGGTCCCGGCGCCCGCGCAGAACCAGCTGTCTGAGCTGCTAGGGCGGCGGGGGAACAGCGAGCGGGCTTCAGCAAGCTGGAGGAGGCACAGGTCTGTCCCGGGTCCCGGCAGGTCAGTGTGAAGGTGGGCGCTGCCTGCGGACCCGGGGAAAGGGCGGAGGTGGCTGTCAGTAGGAGTGGGGAGGAGGTGGAGAAGGGATTCGGGAGATGAGTGAATAGGGTGATGCGGAGCGGGCGGGGGCGGGGGGGCGGTGGCGGGGGAGCCTGGCCCGCCTTCTGGACGACCCCCTGCACTAAGCCCTCCATCCATTTTAGTGCTGGAAATGGGGGTTAGAGGGAGCGACCCCGCAGTGCGACAGTGAAACGTAGGTATTCTGAAAATAACTCTCATAATCTGCTCCCATGGAAACACCTGACCTCCGCAAAAACAGGGTGGCGCTGGGACAGGTTGCCTCCGGGGGAAGAGGACACAGAGACAAACGCAGTTTGGAAAGCATGCGGGTTTGGTGCCCGAGGCCTGGAAAGAAATGGCGGCTGGGGTGCGGGGGAGGTAGGGGAGGAAAATGTTGGGTGAGCAGGGCCTGGACTCAGGAAAGGGAGCCGAGTCCCTGTGAGCCCGCTGAGCGCGCAGCCCATACCCCTGTCTCCTGTCTGTCCGCAGGTCTGTGCGTCTGTTGTTCCCAGCGCTCTGCGAGGCCCGAAAAGGAGGAACAACCTGTCCAGAATCCCTGCAGGTCCGTGAAAGCGGGGGGCTGCATGGACAGGGGCCCACAAGGGTTGAGAGTGTGGAGGGCCCCGCTATGGCCGAGTTGGGGCCCCTGCCCATCCCCCTACCCACATGAACACGCACCTTACCAGGCTGAACCAGTGCAGAGAAGGTGGCAGGGCCTGCCAGGCAATGGCTGGCTCACGTGTGTGGGAGGAGTGGCGGGCTACGTGGTGGGCAGAAGGCCCTCTTGGAGGCCCAGCCAGCTTAGTGGAACCCTCACCACGGGTGAGATGCAAGTACTATCCAGACCTGCATTCCACCCCACACCGTCAGTCTCCCATGTCTCTTCTTTGTCTCCTCTTGCCTCCACTCCCATCCCCTAGGACAGGAAAAGGAGAAATCTTAACATGGAAAAACTCTACAATAAGAATGAAGGAAACCTGGGAAACGAGGGAAAGCCAGAAGATGAAGTAGAGCCTGATGATGAAGGAAAGTCAGACGAGGAAGAAAAGCCGGACGTGAAGGGGAAGACAGAATGCGAGGGAAAGCGAGAGGATGAGGGAGAGCCAGGTGATGAGGGACAACTGGATGATGAGGGAAGCCAGGAAAAGCAGGGCAAGTCCGAAGGTGAGGGCAAGACACAAGGCGAGGGCAAGCCAGCCTCCCAGGCAAAGCCAGAGAGTCAGCCGCGGGCCGCCGAAAAGCGCCCGGCTGAAGATTATGTGCCCCGGAAAGCAAAAAGAAAAACGGACAGGGGGACGGACGATTCCCCCAAGGACTCTCAGGAGGACTTACAGGGAAGGCATCTGAGCAGTGAGGAGATGATGAGAGAATGTGGAGATGTATCAAGGGCTCAGGAGGAGCTAAGGAAGAAACAGAAAATGGGTGGTTTTCATTGGATGCAAAGAGATGTACAGGATCCGTTCGCCCCAAGGGGCCAACGAGGTGTCAGGGGAATGAGGGGTGGAGGTAGGGGCCAGAGGGGCTTACATGATATCCCATACGTTTAATGCCTTTGACCTTCCATTCTGACTTCTCTGATGAGAATATTGCCGTCCCTGCTTTCCCTGGTAGATATTTGCCAGGCCCTGTGCTTTAACCTTAAGCTGATATTTTGCTTTAGATGTCAATCTTGTTACCAGCAGCCTTTTGACCCAACTACAGCGCTCTATATTTTAGTAGAGGATTTTCACCCATGTGCATGGAAAAGATGTTAAAGGTACATTGTAAAAAAAAAATAAAAAAAAAAGTTTGCAGAACCGCATATACAGTATTAGCCCATTTTTTATAAAAGTGTAAATATTTGCATAATGCATTTGTTCACAAAGAAAACTCTGAAAGCATGTACACTAAAAAGTAGGCAATGGTTATTCCTGAATGGTAGCCAAAAGTGAGTTCAGTCACCTGCTGGGTAGGTACCTCCATGGCATTCTGCTGCTGTTGTGCCCATCCTCATGTCTTCTCTAGGTGTAACTAGGTGAGTAGGCACTGCTACCCCTTCTCCTGGGTCCTTTACCATGCTATGGCTCCCCCATAGGATGTGATTCTTTTTCTTTTCTTTGCTCTCACTCATCTCCACCTTTTCTTAAAGGATATGTCCTTTTGTCATAATAATAATTTTTAAAACTAAACCAGAAAACAATACATGATTAGCAATATAACTGTTCAGTGAGCTTATGAGGTTAATAAAGACACTTACAATTTCTGTTGCCAGAACATAAAATGATAAGTAAAATTCATATTACCTCTGAGACTAATAGAGATATCAACCTGGCTATATATAACCTATAATGGATACACTGCTATAAGGGTCAGTCTTGCCATCTGTGAAATGGGGATAATACTTATCTCACAGGACTGCCCAGTGGATCAGATGAAGTACTGAACATGCGAGCTGTCCACTGCCAGGTTGATACTTCTAGCTATTAGTCTCAGAGACCATTGCTGAGACCCTAATATGGTATCATTTCCAGAGAGAAGGTTGATTATTATATTACTTTGTGCCCTATAAATACATACCATTATAAATTGTCAATAATTATTTAAACTATGAGAAATAACAAGTACAATGTAGCAAGATATGATATCAACATGCAAAATCAATTGCATTTCTTGTTATTATTTTTTCTAAAGATGGGGTTTCACCATGATGGCCAGGCTGGTCTTGAACCACTGACCTCAGGTAATCCACCCACCTCAGCCTCCCAAAGTGCTAGGATTACAGGTGTGAGCCACCGCGCCCGGCTTTAATTGCATTTCTTTACAGTAGAAATTAGCAATCCAAAATAAACTTGAAAAAATGATTCCATTTACAATGGTATCAAAAAGAAAAACAATCTTAGGAATAAATTTAACAAAACAAATACTAGACTTGTAAATGGAAAAGTACAAAATATTGTCAAAAGGAATTAAAGATGACCTAAATAAATGGAAATAAATTCAATGTTCATTGATTGAAAGACTTAATATTGTTCAGATGGCAATATTTCCTAATTGATCTACAGACTTAAGGCAATCTCTATCAAAATCTCACTTGGCTTCTTTGCAGAAAACGACAAAGTGATCCTAAATTAAAATGACCCAAAATAGATAAAACAATATTGAAAAACAACAACAAATGGAGTTCTTACACTTTCCAACTTCAAAACTTACCATAAAGCAATAGTAATCAAGACAGGGTGGTCCTACCATAAGGACAGATAAATAAATCAATGGAATAGAATTGAGAATCCAGAAGTAAACGCTCACTTTTATGCTCAATGGATTTTCAACAAGTCTGCTAAGACAATTCAAAGGGAAGAGAATAGTTTTTAAACTAATTGTGATGAAATAATTGGACATCTGCATGCCAAAGAATGAATTTAGAACATTATGTCACACCCTACAACAAAGTCATAAAACACAAATCATAAATATACATTTTTTTTTTTTTTTTGAGACGGAGTTTCACTCTTGTTACCCAGGTTGGAGTGCAATGGTGCGATCTCGACTCACCACAACCTCCGCCTCCTGGGTTCAGGCAATTCTCCTGCCTCAACCTCCTGAGTAGCTGGGACTACAGGCACACGCCACCATGCCCAGCTAATGTTTTGTATTTTTAGTAGAGACAGGGTTTCACCATGTTGACCAGGATGGTCTCGATATCTTGACCTCGTGATCCACCTGCCTCGGCCTCCCAAAGTGCTGGGATTACAGGCTTGAGCCACCGCGCCCGGCCTTAATTTTTATTTATTTTTTGAGATGGAGTCTCACTCTGTAAACTGGCTGGAGTGCTGCGCCCGGCACAAATCATAAATATAAATGAAAGAGCTAAAACTATACAACTTTTAGAAGAAAACATAGGCATAAATATTCATGACCTTGAGTCAGGCAATTTTACTTAGATATGACAACAAAATCATATATTTGTGTATACATTTTGCATGACGGCATACGGGAGAAAATAACTGCAAATAATACATCTGATAAGGAGCTAATATCCAGAATATATAAAAAACTCTTACAACTCAACCATTAGAAAAAGAGAACCCAATTTTAAAATGTGCAAATGATTTGAATAAATATTTCTCCCAAGAAAATATACAAATGTCCAATAGGCACAAGAAAAGAAGCTCAACATTATTAGTTATTAAGGAATGTAAACCAAAACCACAAAATGATACCTTCACACAGAGTAGAATGGCTAAAATGAAAGAGATGGAAAATAAGTTTTGGTGAGGATAGAGAGAAATGAGCCTTCATACATTGCTGGTGGAAATGCACTTGCTTGGGATAACAAATTGCCAATTCTTTAAAATGTTAAACACAGTGTAGTGATATGACCCAGCAATTCCACTCCTAGATATATACACAAGAGAAATGAAAACATACAGTCACGAAAAATGTATACACAAATGTTCATAGCAGCATTGTTCATAATCGCTAAAAAATAGAAAACAAAAGGTCCATGAACTGGTGAATAAATAAATATGGTATATTATACAATAGAATATATTTGGCAGTAACTACTGATACATGGTATAGCATAGATGAACCTTGAAAACATTATGCCGCTAAGTGAAAGTAGGCAGTCACAAAAGATCACATATTTTATTACTCAATTTATAGTAAATGGCCATATCAACAAATCTATAGAGAAAGTAGATTCGTGGTTGCCTGGGGCTTGCAGAAAGGCAGGAATAAAAAACAATTGGTAATAGGAAGCGGGTTTTCTTTAGGGGTGATGAAAATGTAAAATTGGATAGTGGTGATGATTGCCCACCTCCATAAATATTCTAAAAGTCATAGAATTGTGCACTTTACATGGGTGAATTATAAGGCATATGAATTATATCTCAATAAAGCTGTTAAAATGAAACAATTATCTGCAATAAAAATAAGAACAATATGTTACATGGTTTGTAACATATGTAGAAGTAAAACTACAATGGTGGTTAATACTGTCAACTTGACTGGATTGAAGAATGCAAAGTATTGTTCCTGGGTGTGTCTGTGAGGGTGTTGCCAAAGGAGATTAACATTTGATTCAGCAAACTGGGAGACATAGACCCACCCTCAATCTGTGTGGGCACCATTTAATCAGCTGCCAGCGTGACTAGGATAAAAGTAGGCAGAGGAAGCCAGATGTAGTGGCTCACACCTGTAATCCCAGCACTTTGAGAGACCGGGCGGATCACCTGAGGTCGGGAGTTCGAGATCAGCCTGACAAACATGGAGAAACCCTGTATCTACTAAAAGTATAAAATTAGCTGGGCATGGTGGCACATGCCTGTAGTCCCAGTTACTCGGGAGGCTGAGGCAGGAGAATCACCTGAACCCGGGAGGCGGAGGTTGCAGTAAGCCGAGATCGTGCCATTGCACTCCAGCCTGGTTAACAAGAGTAAAACTCTGTCTCAAAAAAACAAAACAAAACAAAACAAAAAAAAACCGGGCTCGGTGGCTCACGCCTATAATCCCAGCACTTCAGAAGGCTGAGGCAGGCAGAGGTTGCAGTGAGCCGATATCGTGCCATTGCACTCCAGCCTGGGCGACAGAGCAAGACTATGTCTCAAGAGAAAAAAAAAAAGTAGGCAGAGCAACCTGGAAAGACTGGACTGGCTTAGTCTTCCGGCCTACATCTTTATCCAGTGCTGGATGCTTCCTGCCCTCAAACATCAGACTCCAAGTTCCTCATTTTTTGGACTCTTGGACCTTCAACAACAGACTAAAGGCTGCACTGTTGGCTTCCCTACTTTTGAGGTTTTGGGACTCTGACTGGCTTCCTTGCTCCTCAATTTGCAGATGGCCTATTGTGGGACTTCACCTTGTGATTGTGTGAATCAATACTCCTTAATAAACTCCCCTTTATATATGCATCTATCCTATTAGTTCTGTCCCTCTAGAGAACCCTAGCAAGTACAAACACAGAAAAAAGATGGGAGAGGGAATGCACAGTTGTAGGGTTCTTCCATTATCTGTGAAATCATATACAGTTGACCCTTAAACAATACAAATTTGACGTGTGTTTTTTGACATGGATTTTTCCAACCAAACTAAGATGGAAAATACTTTATTTTTGGGATATGAAGCCTGCATACAGAGAGGGCTGACTTTTCACATAGGTAGGTTCTGCAGAGCTTGTGTTTTTTGACATGGATTTTTCCAACCAAACTAAGAGGGAAAATACTTTATTTTTGGGATATGAAGCCTGCATATAGAGAGGGCTGACTTTTCACATAGGTAGGTTCTGCAGGACTTGAGTATGCATAGATTTGGGTATCCTGGAGAGTGGGGGGTCCTCTCAGTATACTCAATCCCCCTGAGTCTACTGAGAGATAGCTGTAATATTATTTTTGAAGGTAGACTGTGATAACCTATGATACATATTACGAATACCAGAGCCATGGCTCAGAGATTCTGCCTGAGGGAAGGGAGGGAAGCAGGATGTAAAACGGAGAGTTCTAAATTTTTTCACAAAGGAAAGGAATTCATTTGCAACAGAATGTGGCAAAGTCCAAGCTTAAGGGAGCTCTCAAAAACAGTGGAGGCTGTGGTGCATGGTATATTAAAAATACATAATACAGTATATATTTAGTGAATGGCCCCAGTTCCTGGCACAGAGCTACTGAAACTTTTGGGATTTCCTGAATGATAGGAGTGTCTTTTGTTATTCATAATGAGCCACTTTTGACCACTCCTGAGTTTATGCTAATGAGGTGACTTAGGGTAAGGCCCCTAGATAGCTTCAGGATGGGGACTGGATACCAGAAAGACCAAATACATGAT